ATACGATTGTAAATGAATTGTTTGAAATTTGTATGGAAATAAGACTATGGCTTTTAGATTTATCCCAAAATGTGATTAGTGGCGATCATGATAAAGATTGTAGAAATTTAGGTGCCAGTGTAGTATCTTTGATTGATTCTATCATAGGTTCAACATTCGATACATAATTATTAATGAGATATAAATATTATTTATGAAAATATATATTTTTTTAAATATTCACAAAATTCCTAAAGTTCATTTTAAAATTTTGCATGCTTTTTTTCTTTATATGAATAATATATTGTGAATATTGTGTAAGAAATATATTTATGTTATATTAAATACTTTATATAATTTTTATAATTCATTTTTTTAAAAAAATTGTAATTACTTAATATTATAAATAAATAAAATTAATGTGTTACTAATATATAAGATTTAAATTTTTTTATAATTTAATAAAATTTTATATATATATAAATAGAACAAAAGATATAAGAATAGAACAAAATATTAAAAGAAAGTGTTATTAAAATTAAAAGAGATTTAAATTTTATATTTAGGAACAATTGGATTATCATCAGTTACAAATCTTCTTACTCCTACATCTACCAATTCTAAAAATCAAATATCAAATAATACATCCACACAAATTGGATCTACATGGGCTGGTTCAGGATTAAATATAGATCTCGATAATATAATGGGAAGTAAAGCAAAACAAACAGGACCTGCACCAACAATGAATCAATTGGCAAGCAATAGTCCACAACATCAAATTAAACTTATGAGTGAGTTATATATATATATATAATATGGAAATTTCTATTTTGTTTAATAAATTATAATGATATGAAAATTAATATTGAATATATACAATACATAATACATATAATTAAAGCACTTAACATAAAATAAAAATAGTAAAATTTTTTTCTTAAGAAGAATTTATTGTATTATTTAAATTTAAATATATTTTATGTATATTATATATAATTCTATTATATTTATATTTTTTTTATATTTATGTTAAATATTTTAATTTTATGATGTTTTTTTTGAAACAATATAAATAATTTTACTATATGTATATATAGTATATATTATTATATATTTTAAAATTATTTATATATTTATTTATTAATTATAGAAAACTCAATTTTATGCATTTTATTATTAAAAATATAATTATTTTAGCATCACCAACAATTGGATATGCATCACCAATGATTCAATCTCAACAGCAGAAACAGCAGCATATAAATCCAGCATTTTTTCCTGCATTTCAATGAAAGCTTTTTTAATAAATAAAAAAAAGATAATAGTAAAACAAAAGGCATAAATGAAATAACTTGGAGTTATAAAACAAATAGGGCTTGTTATGAACAATCTATTTATTTAATAAAAATGGAGATAAATTTTCTATTTTCTGGACAAAGCAATCTCATTATACAGGGTGCAACTGTAAAAAATTGCATATTGTAAATGTCAGAGCAAAATGGTCAATGAAATATATATTGCATAATTTATGTGTTCACAAATAGTTAAAAAGAGAACTATCATTCATTTCTACATTTTATGTTTTGATTAAAAAATTTGTTCAGTTGTTTTTCTAACATATGAATTATATCATATGAATATGATTCGATATATCATATGAATTTGATTCGACTATTTGACTTAATAAGAGAAAAGTAAAAATTTATTGAAAATTATGATAAATATAATCGTGAATACTACATAAAATATATGATTAATTTAAGAGCAGCTCTGTACATTAAGTTTTAATGCATATTTGTTGAAATAAGAATTTTAGATATGTTCCCAATAACATTCCGCAATATGAATGTTGTACTTTTTTAATGAATCATGTTTTAATGAATTATGTTACTTCAAATCATATGGGAACAAATCAGGCAGACTTGTCTTAAATCTTTTATACATAATGTAAAGTGAATGAATCAAGATTATGCCTTACATATATAATGTATTATAAGTAATGTATGCATGAAAGTGAGTTATAGATATTCGAGAAAATGTAGTATATTAATTTTATTTACTATTGGATATAAGACATTCTGTTAAATGTTATTCAATGTCTTAAAAGAAAAGAAAATGCTTTTACAGGGGTTGAATGTAGAAAATAGAATTATTGCAGACTTTAGAAAGCTGCATTTACACATTGACAATTTGAATTGTAAGGATGATTTCACTTTTCTATATAAATATAATTATTTGACAATTGATGATGATATTCGTCTATAAAAAAAACAAAAAAGGCGCAATAACATTACTAATGATATAAGTGCTTCCCTATTATAGTTAGTTTTGCACGAAAAAAATAATATAAAATTAGTAGTTATTGAAAAAAAATAGGTACATATGAAAGCATAATGCAGGATACAAGAAGTTATCTTAAAAAGAAGCACAGAAGCACAAATCAGCAGGATTTATTGCGCTTCAAAAGCGCTCCACTCAGCATGGTGATTTAATATTATGTTTATTGTCCATTGTAAATTATTTAAGGATTTTGTGTAATTATATAGTGATAAAAAATTTAATCATTTATGTGATTGAATAATGATATTCTACAATTTTTGTAAAATAGGAAAAAGTAAAAATTAAATAGCATTTCCTTAATTCTTTGTTACTAATAATGATGAAATGCATATCTTTTAAGATAATTGTGGGATTAAAAAAAAAAAATTATTAATAATTAGATATTAATTAATAGATTAAGATCCATTTAATTTTATGTATTGTTTATTATCAATGATTTAATATATCTTTGCTGCATGATACTGAAATATATTTTAGGAAATAATTTATAAAATGTTTAGATATTAAAATATTTATTCATCAGAGAATATTAAAAAAATTGCATGTTCTATTTCTTATTTTTACTATAGCATACATATATATATATATATATATGACATATATTACATAAATAATTGATATAGTAAAATTTTTATTTCATAATTATATTTTAGTAGATATACTTATCTATTATTTATCAAATAATTGAAATTTATTTTATAAAATATTTCAGAATTTGCAGCAAAGTTGAAATTCATATTTATATATGTTTTTAAACAAATAATTTAGATAATTCGTTGCTTATATAGTACTCTATATAAATATCTATAGAACAGGTGCCCGAAAACTTATTTTATGTGATTGAAAGTATTTCATTTTTTATGAATTAATCATAATAGAAATTTTATTGTTATTTTATTAAATTTTGTTTAAATCATTTTATAAAGTTGATGTGGAATTAACTTACAGGCTTCTATGCGAGTATCAGAGACTGAATCTTGTATATATAAGGGAAAAATAATTCTTTACATTTTCCATTATTTGAGTATTTTATATAAAGTGTACTATTTGATGTAGATGGGAATATATTTTTAAAGTATTAAAGTATACATACATATATATGTATTGAAATACATATATATGTATGTATTATTGTACAAATATAAAAAAATATAGTCAATAAGTGCGGTATCATTGTCAGTTGATCCGTATAAATATTAATATAAAGAAGCACGATTACAGTCTAGAATTACAGAGGCCTTTATAAAGTCAAAACTGGATGAAAATTAAGATCATGAAAGTTAAATGAACATTTTTTTGTTAGCAAATAAGTTTTATAAATTTTTATATAACGATATTGGAAAATTGACATATTCAAAAAATTTAAAAAATTTTGATTCTGAATTTAAAAAAAATAGAAAGTAAAAGTAATATTATTTTATTGAAATACATTTAGATATGTATTTTTATGCTACTTGCGCGCGTTGATATTGTTTATTGTACGTTTTACGAATATAACTCAATAATTTTATTAGTATTCGTTATCGTTACAAATAAAATCATATAAAATTTGTAATCTTTTATTATTTATATATTAATTAAATTATAAAAAATAATTATCTATTAATTTAATATATGTTCATACATACATACATTTGTAACATTGCATTTATTATCAGAGAAAACTTAAGTAAGAAATATTCAACTATTAAGCAATACGTACATATTCTGGTACATATCAATATTAATCGCGCGTTTAAAATATATGGCTATTTACATATGCCTTACAATTTTATGTAAAATGTATTACATGTATTACACAAAATGAAAATTATTGTTCCTCTGGTGAAATTCAGGACAGTTATTATGTCGCTTATAGTACTACATACGTGCGAATGATAACTAATAGCTCACTTGTCGACTGAATATTGTTTACATTAGTCGCGATAATTGTAATTATTAATTCTGGTATTTATACTTACATCACAGTTTTATCGTTATTAAATGCTCATTGGTGCTGGTGTTAATACAAATTGTCAACTGTTTTATTTTCATTTTTAACATAAAGTATCATCTATTCCTTACATATGCAATGTCTAATTTCACATTCTACCAATTTCCTTCAAATTATAATTTAATCTTAAATATAAAACATGTATAAAATGTTATAAAATTTAAAATTTAAGAAAATTTATCTTATATTAATAATTTTTTCAAATTTTATAATTTAATTATTTTTTATGATTAATCAATGAATATATGTTTTGTTTTTTAAAAAAATATTTTATAATATAATTTAAAAATTATTTTCTTAAAGAATATAATGTTAAAAAATTTAAATTAAAAAATAATATAAATAAAAACAATAAGCATTATAAAATAAAGATTTTATATATGTTTAGATATTAATACCAATTTTATATATGTTTAGATATTAATACCAAAATATATAAAAAATTAAAAATTCAATATTATATTAATTATATTAATTAATATAATTATAATAATATATTAGAATTTTAATAAGAATAATCACATTAATAAGAATAAAAACCAAATAAAAAAAAAAGGAAATCAAATTATATTGGAAAAATAATATATACTATATATATATATACACAATAATTTAAATTATAAAGAATTATATTTTACAATTGTTTCTTCATAAAATAATATACATTTTTTAGAAGAAGATTTAAGAGTCAATATATGCAATATATGAAAATATGTTTTTAAATTATAAATCTAATTGTCAATCTTATTTTAACATAATTTTACAATGAAAATATGATTAAAAATAAACTATTTCATGAATTAATAGAGTTACAATTGAAACTATATTAAAAAATGAAGTATTCAACATATAATGTTCATTGTTATAAATAAGAAAAATTGATACAATTATTATAGCATGATAATTATATAAAGATAATATATAAATTCTCATTCATTTTCATTTAAATTTTTTGACTTCTTCTTTTTTTTCTTTTTCTTTACTGGTTCTTCAGTTTCTTCTTCCACTCCATTTTCGATATATCCATTTTCTTTTCCATTTTCTAAAACTTCACTTTTCCTTTTTTTATCTTTTTTCTTTTTCTTTTTAGCTGATTTTTGTTCCATACTCGCTATTACTTGTGCAGCTTCTTCTAATGCTTCTTTCATTACATCTATATTTTTTTTAGGTATTTCTCCAGTTTCATAAAATTTCAATCTATCTTCTACTTGTTGTCGCAATTTTTCACCAAACACATTAGTTGGTGTATCAGTAAAACAATCAATTCTTGATGCAAGAGAACATTTATTGGCAAGATACCTTGAAATTCTACCTTTATTTTTTGTACCTGCACGACCAATAAAACTCGAATGGAATAATAATCCATATTTTGGAGTGTTACCTCTAGTTTTCAAGGCTCTAAATAAAGCCTTTTCTGCTCCTAATATTTGTACAGTAGAGGCAGGATATTTAGCTAAATTTGTAAGAGATCCAGCATGTGCTATTAATCTTGCTCCCACTTGATCACCTATTAATGTAGCTAAATTTGGTGCTACGCCTGTCATTTTAGATTTTAAATATTCTGCTAATTGTTTTCTGTAGTCAGCCAAAGCAATAACACGTACTGCAAACATTTCAATATTAAGAAGATCAACAGGACTGATATCCATTCCCATAGATGATTTAGAAGCATCGATAATTGCTTGAGCTTTGGCACTGTCCATGACAATGTCTTCCAAAGCTTCTAATTTTTCATTTGTAAGTTCTTTTCTATTTTTTATTAATTTTGCAACTTTGGCATACATATAATTCTCAGGAACTATTTTTACAAGTTCTGGAAAATGATAACTATACCATTCCCTGTAAATAATAAACATATAATTAATAAACTAAAAATATAATTGAATTTTTTTATCTATCTATAAATATAAAAAAATTGATTAATATTAAAAATTTTTAAAAATATTTAAAATAATTACCTTATACGCATACTAAATGTATTAATGTCTTTATCTAATTGATCTAATAGAGCTATGCTTTGTATGATCATATTATCCACACGATTAACATTGAATTTAACTTTAGCTCTAGAATAACTATGACCAAGTCCAAGTTGTGCAATTCCAGAACTTTTAGCAGTAAAACCTTTTACTAAATTATGAAAATGAAATCTTATTCCTCTAATAATTTCTGGAATGGCACCAGTATGATCACATTTTATATTTAATACTTCAGTAATATTAGCTCCAAGTTTTGGATCTGCTACTCCAAGCACAACTTCATCTTTTTTTCCAGATTTTGGTATACATGAGTCTAAAAATAACTGTAAATCTTCTGGAGCAATTCCTTCAGAAATATTATTTATACTTTCTAGAGCTGTTAAAGCAGTTTTAAAAGGTGAAAATCCAATTAGTTTCACAACTGAGTTAAAACGAGACAAATCTGTTACAGACGCTTCAACTTGAGGCAATAACATTCCTACTTCTTCAAATTCTCTGACAGAAAATATGGCATAGCCAGCAGCATGTTCGAATAAAATAAAAAGCTTTGACTGAAAAATATAATATTATATTAAAGATATATATTAAATTTATAAAAAAAAATTTATAATTAATTATAAAAAATATAAAATGTTAATAAAAATTTGATTTAATAATTATGTTTAAGAATTTGATTTAAAATGTTATCATAATCTTATAATATATCATAATTTTATATCATAATCTATTGTAATATTAAGGTAATATAATATAATATTCTTAATAAAAATGATATGCTTGTTAAAAAAAAGAATGTTAAAATGTAAAAACATGCACTTATTTAAAAAATTTCAAACATTTTTACAATTACTTTTGTTGTTATTTAAATAAAATTTTGTATTATACTTGTTATTATCTATAGTTATATATATATTTTTTAATAATCCAATCAAAACTCTCAATATTAATACATAAAAATTTATTTTAATTTTAATTTATAAGAAAATATTTTACAATTATATTATATTTTCTAATTGTTACATTTTTATTATATAAATCATTTTATCAAAATTAATATATTGTTTTGAAAGGTATAAATGAAAATAATTTTAAAAAAAGTTATATTTCTAATTTATTTATTAAAAATATAATCAAAATGTTAAGCTTACCATGATTTTTTTATCTTATATTCCATTCAATATTTCTAAATAATCACTACCCAAAACCAAAACGTATTATTAAGGTTAGAAAATAACCATGTGTTCCGGATATAATACGAATAAAAATATGGAGTTCTTGATACTTCCTGAGATTCAAATGTTTACTAAAGTTTCATACAAAATTGTATATTTCAAAATTGCTAATTGAAATTGAATAATAAAGTTGCTTTCATGTAATATATTTTTGAATAGCATGATAATGAAATAAGATTGTATTTCTTAATTTTTCTTATATACATTTGTATCATAATTAAGTTCGATATACATTTCCCTTTATATTGTGTATGGAAGTGGATATCTCTATTTTCTTTTTCGATATTTAATTTCATTTAAATCAATTTTTATCTAAAATTTTATTTAAATAATATAAGAATTTATATTGATATAGCGAAGAAACATATTATAAGTCTATTATTAAGAACAATAATAATCTTTTAAAATGTATGTGAATATTTTACCATTTATAGGTTATGTTTATTTATATTATTTAATATACATATTTTTTTTTCTTATTAATTCTTTTAGCTTTTATTTTTTTCTTTTTAAGAATGGAATCTCGGACAGAATTCAAAATAAAATCTCCGCCAACTGATGCGATTTCGGCAGTAGAATTTGGGCGGAATTCAACACAATTTCTTCTTGTTTCTTCATGGGATAGTACAGTGCGCTTATATGATATTCATACAAATACTATGAGATTAAAATATAATCATGATTTACCAGTTTTAGATGTTGCATTTCAGGTAAATGAAATTTTTATATCATGTTATTATATATTTATAAGATATAAACAAGTTTTAAGATATTATAACAACATATATAATATTTAATATTATATCATTATATTTGTATTTTTAAGCAAAAAAAGAGAAATAAGAATAATAATGATAAAATATATATTTAAGAAAATAAAAATAAATTTTAATATAATATTATAATACATTAAATATAATTATATATTTTTTTCCTTTATTTTTATCTTTATAATATTAGTTGTTTTGAAAATTTTTTAATATCAATACAATAAAAAAGTTTCTTTTAATAGGATGCTGTACATGCTTATAGTGGAGGTTTAGGAAATACATTAAAGATGTATGACATAAATAGTAATACTGGTATTGATATTTTTATATTTTTATCTTTATTTATATTTATTTCAATATATAAACATCATAAAAAGGAATTATTTTATAGAATCAGTCATGGGAACACATGATAAACCAATTAGGAAAATTGAATATTCTGCTGCAGTCAATGCAATATTAACTGGAGGATGGGATGCAGCAGTAAAACTTTGGGATCCTAGAACACCTACTTGTGTAGGTAGTTATTTACAACCTGATGTTGTTCTTGCTTTGTCTGTATGTGGAGATAAGTTTGTAGTTGGTACAGCTAAACGCAAAGTTTGTATTTGGGATTTAAGAAATATGGCTGGTATGTTTCAAAGACGTGAAAGCAGTTTAAAGTATCAAACACGTTGTATTAAAGGTTTTCCTAATGAGCAGGTAGGTTTGATACTTTGATAATTAAATAAATAAAATATATTTAAATTTTGATTTCATTTAATATTGATATTAAATTTTTTGTTTTTAATTTTTAATAACTTTTAGGGATATGTTCTTAGTAGCATAGAGGGTCGTGTTGCTGTTGAATATCTTGATACAACACCAGAAGCACAAAAAAAGAAATATGCTTTTAAATGTCATAGGATAAAGGAAAATAATGTGGAACATATATATCCAGTGAATGCTATTAGTTTTCATTCAACTTATAATACATTTGCAACTGGTGGTTCAGATGGTTATGTGAATATTTGGGATGGTTTTAACAAAAAACGTTTATGTCAATTTCATAGATACAATGCTGGTGTTGCTGCTCTTAGTTTCAGTCATGATGGTTCTGTACTTGCTATAGGAGTATCATATTTAAATGAAGCTGAAATTCCACCAGGTGGAAATGATGAAAGAGAAATTTATATAAGATACGTGAATGATCAAGAAACTAAACCTAAATAATATTGTACAAAGTTTTTTATATATATAAAAAAAAAAGTAAAAATTTTTTAACTATACTTTGCTTTATCAAAGCAGTAAAAATTGAATGCTAAAATCTTTTCACAAAAATTAATAATCATTTATAACATATATAATAACAATATTTTTTGTCAATTTTATATTTTTATATCTTAAATAATTGATGATTATACAAATTCTAGAAGTGAAGTAATTTCTGTTCAAAATTATTAGACTAGTCAATTTTAATAAATTAACTTTTTGTAAAAAATATTATTTTTATTTAAGGTAATAGACTTATTCAACAATATACTATATATTAAATATTTGTAGATTTTATTGTCTATTTCATTATCAGTTATATTATTATTACTTGTAATATTAGTTGTATTTTATCATTTATTTTTAAGTATAAAAGTGTGTATATATATTTAATATTTAAAACACGTAAAATTTATGTAAAAAATTAGATATTTGAGAAAATATTTTATTCTAATTAAAATATATTTGAATAAAAATTTACAGTATATGAAATATTAATTCAAATGTATACAATATTAAAATAATTTGGACCATTATAAACTTATAAAATAATTATAGATTATTTTATAAAAAAAATTAGATATGAATAATTTTTATAATAATTTGTTTCAGTATAAGTAATTGTGCTAATTGTTAATATTGCACATTAATATTTATAAAATTATTGTCAGAACTTAATTATTATTGTTAAAATAATGGTGTTATTCTATACAAAATTTAATAACTATTTAGTCAATAATATAAAACAACTACTATTCTGTTACTATCACATTAACAATTGTAGATATTATATCTATATATCTGTAATTTAATGTGTAAAGATGTAGATGTTGTTTTTTAAAATTGTTTTTGTAATTATTGAAATTCACAAAAAAAATATTTTGTTTATCAATGATTAAAAAATATCTTGTGAGGGCAGTTGCATTGTTATGCATAATATCCACATTACAAATAAACTAAATGTTAATATTTGCGCAATATAGTTTTGCTTTTTAGTAATTTATATATACTTATATGACATGCATTTTTTAGTAATTTAACAATTTTTATAACATTTTGATTAACAATATGTACATCAACAATTTGTACTATTTTCTATTTTTTTAAAAATATGTCCTTTGAAAACTATAATATTTATTAAATCATTATTACATTACATGATTCTATTAATTAATTATATAATCATAAATTTTATATATATTGATGTCTGAGTATTTGATAGATTTTTATACAAATTTTGCTAGTATATAACTTATTAGCAGAACAATGATAAAGTTTGTATGCAATTCTTATCAAACATTCTATATTTCAAAGGACTTTTTAGCAGATGAAAATATATTTACTGCTTTTCTAATGAGATATAATTAGATATTTCTTATTAGTTTTTCTAATTGCATATATCATTTTTATGTTTTTAATGAAGTATTTTGGCAAATAATAATTTTTCTTAATGTATCGCGGATCGTGTCATGTGTTGCAAAACTAATTCCTACAGCAATTGGACCTTTTATCCAGTTCATACTTAATCCTTTATAAAAGGCCATTATACCTTCTTCTCTGAAAATAATAAAAAATTATATAAAACATTTTTATTTTATATATTGAAATTGTAATAGAAAAAATTAAAATTAAAAATTAAAAATTATTTTCTTTATTTTATATATTTTAAATAATTTAAATATTATATTTTAAAATTTAAATGCAATGAAAGAATGTAATTATATTTTATAAGTTGTATTAGAATTATATTAAATTCAATATTAATAATTTTTACTCAAATTAAAAAATGAAAAACTCACTTGTAAATTTTTGTGATAGTTGATCTAATTGTGTGATAGTGTTGACCATGCATCGCCGAAGTCTGCATCCTTCTCCGAATAATGTCCAAAGGGTAGCTGCTAGTCTGAGCAACCATTCCGGCAATGGCGCCGCAAATCAGTGATGTCGAGAAGCCAGGAATAGCCACCGTGTACACTGTTCATCGACACGTAGCCATCATCGAACATGAAGCACGTACTTGAAAAACACAGCCATCGGACTTGTCTCGACAAGCGTCGCTATTAAAGTAAGTATTGTCCCAATATCGGGAAACAGCCCCGATGTGCCCCACGGGTACCCTGCTTTATATACGAGCCACTCTCGTTCGTATAAATCACGACTTTTTCTCTGCGTACAAGCACCGTCACGGCGTAGAATAAGTTTGTAAAAGAAATGACTCACCAGTCAATAAATTCCTGAGTAGATCATAGGTGAAGAAACTGCAACCAGCATAAGGAATGACACCAAGTAGCGTTGCAGTAAATCCACGGTAATAGGCCGCTATTCCTTCTTCCATGTAAATGCGTACAAATATTTGTCGCAAGGTTTTGTATTTAGTCTTTTGTGTCACAGCCATTCTTGCTCTCATCAAGTCCAAGGGATAAGTTGTACCTTGCGATGTTATACCCGCTAAAGAACCGGCAAGAAAATTCAATCCTGGTTTTTCTCTATCAAAGAGAATAAATAATTTTTTATAATTATCATAAATAATTAAATAAATATATAATCGCATTACAAATATAGAATTAGAAGCAGATTTATAAATTAGTTTAAAATATTTGATACAATATGAAAAAACATTTTTTATATTGAAAAATATAATATTAAGTACATATGATTATTATAATGTAAAAAATTTAATAAATATTTTATATGTTGTATGTAAATTTTACCTTTCTGATCCATTTACTCCTAAGATTCTTTTCCATTGCTCATGAGCTGTGAATTGAACAGCAGAATATGGAACTATTCTAACCATAGTAGCACTGTTTCCACGCCACAAACTTAGTAAACCTTCTGTTCTAAGAGTTTTTATTAAAAATTTAATTGCTGCTTTTGCCGAAAATGGTTGGTTTGAAATTTGAAAGTTTATCTTTGTGCGATCTAAAGGTGCTATTGTCGTTTTTGCCAATGCTCCTGCAATAGCACCTGATAATAAACTTGTCCATACTCTTTGTGCATTAGATATACCAATGCTCCCAATATTTTTTTCT